AATAATTTATAAGTCCTATGCCTAGTTGCACAAAGGTTTGTTACGTTTAATGACGACATTTAACGTAATAAACCGAAATTTGAATATATGTATCGTGATGCCACTTTAAACTAATGGAAATATAAATGGGCAATTTCCTGCAACTGTGTTCTTAGTTCACGTTACTTTTTGAGTGGTGCTTTTATTATGTTTATTGTTAGTACCCGTGCTGTATTGTGGTAATAGAAAGTACAGTAATGCGTCCTATTTGTTATTGTTGATATTTAAGAATAGTCTATCACTTTTTAAATACAAAAACTCATCCTTGAAATCGAATAAATTAATAATATTATATTCATAAACCTTTTGTTGATGACGTTTTCTTATTTTGCTTTCTTTTGTACCATGTTCCACTTTATCGTCCATGAATAATGTTTGCTTGATAAAGCTTAAAGGAGCTAATCAACAATAGAATTTTCTTATGTAAATATTATTTTTCTTCCTAAAAAACCCTTTCCGTATCGAAAGCACGCTAACGGGGATCTTTTATATTAGTTCTGTAACGGAGTATCATACCAGCGTGTATTTCATCGTAGGTATCTGCATGCAAACTTTTTGTCTTTGATCTTCAACATAATTTATTTTTATTAATCACTTTTCATAATTTGAAAGTTTGAGTGTATCAATCAATAGCAATTTTTTGTAAAGAATGTTTAAATCTATTTATTACTACCTGTTTAAATGTATTCTATATCCAATCAGATATAATAAAGTTAAATTACTCACCAAATCCGAAGAAAAGGGTAATTTTTGTTAACCCTTAATTAAATTAAGTTCTCAAGCTCAGTCAGCCTTTTATTCATTTGCCTAAGAATCGAACCCGTCGCAGTTGGGGCGTTCAATAATTGAAAGCAAACTGTAAAATGTTTCTCTTTCTAGTGAAATTAATAGTAGTTCGTCAAACATTTTAACCATGTATCATGTAAAGTAACTCGATAAAACAGTCACATCAGTTGACGAAGCAGAACGCACACGAGTGAGAACTCGAAATTGCAAAACCAATACGTAAATGCTCTTGCGAATATTTTATTTTAATGCAATACTTTAAACCGTTTTCTTTTTTTTTTGCAAGTAATAATACCGATTACAATTAGTAGTAACATTATAAACCTGATGGAATAATACTAAATGTTAAAGTGCCATTTGCGAAAAAGTAAATATCCAAGATGTCAAAAAATTTGGTTATTAGTTTGATTTATATATATATATATATATATATGTATATTTGTCCGCAACCATCTCGCGTTTAGCTGAACAGATTTTCATGCGATTTTCAAAAAGCATTTGTTGTTTTTAGTAAAGAAAAGGTATTGGCTTTTTATTTTAGTGTTTTGTTTTTAATTATAGTTATTAATCGATTTAAAAACACGACGAAAGTGCGGATAAGTTAGTAGGATTAGTTAACGACTGCAGATATAGCTACGACGAACTTCTTAACGCGCCTTCCAAAACACTGAGAAGCTCGAGATAATAGATTCCTGGTCACCCATTCTATAACCGGCTCTTGCCAAAAACATTACAGACCGAAAGCACTAACCATTACGCCATTGAGCTCCTGCACCTGGTTAACATGAAAAGCAATTGGTTACTTGTTACTTCATTGCTAATTCTTATATCAAGCAACAGGCGCTTGAATTTGCTTTCCTTTTGATTCTTTAAATAAATAGAATAACTGCCGGTTTCTGAATTGAGAAAAGTACAAAATCTCAATTGATTATTTCCAATAACTTATGTTTTTTTTCGTTTCAAAAGGCAAAAACTCCTAAACTAAAATTATTTTTATATGCACATCCATTGTAATAAATTACCAAAACTCAACAATACTATTAATTCTCTTCTGCACTCTCTATAAGTCTATTCTTTAAATAATTTATGTTGAATACATAGACATAGACATTATAATTAATTCTCCACAAAGCAGAACAGATGCTATTAATTCTCAATATTATAAACATTAGTTTAATTTCTATGGCTTTTATTTATTATTCCATAACGATCACAAACGATTTTACGACTTGTTAGTATTTCTCACTAAATTGTAAACACTGTGTTTGATCAATACCTACTAAACTGAAGAGCCATAATTACTGGTCACTATCACAAACCTGATAGTATATGTCATAATAACTCGTAATGAAAAAAAATATGATAATAATAGCTTCCGATAAAAAGGAGCATAAGCGAGACTCCTCCGTGCTTTGGATCGGCAAATGCCCGCGTGGTGGGCTATGACCCATTTTCCCTATAAGATTCGTTTCAACCATAGAGAAGATCTGAGTTCCAGAATGACGCGATCTGTTCAGCCATGCATTCCTAAAGTGATAGAATAAGGTAATTGAATAATTTAAATAGGAAAGTCATAAATCCATTCATATATAAAAATCAATTTACTCTTCGTTTGTCTCGCTTAAACTAGAGAACGGCTGGGCCGTTTTACTGGTTTTGAAATTGTTGGAATCTAAAGAGGTGATACGAAGTACATCGGGTGATCTAGTATTTAATAAATGAGATGTAAATAGAGTAAATAGAAATAGGAAAAAATAAAAAAATAATAATAAGACAGAACTAATAGATGAACAGAAAAATTGTATACAAATGTAAGACAGAATAAAACTTAATAGAATTAATAAATTATATTAGAAAACATGTAAATATTGATAAAAAGACGAGGGGGAAAAATAACACCTCAAAAAGAAAAAAATAAAATAACACTAAAAAGACGTTACTGAATGGAAGACACCTAGCTTAATAAAAATAAACTGATAGAATCTAACTGATATCAAGCACGTAAAGATTGGCACTTAATGATAGCAATAGCCTATCGATAATTTTTTACCTTTCTGATACAAAACTCTTTTCAATATTTTAGTGGAAATATCAAGAAAATCCTAAACGGTATAGTTATCGTGTTTATCGCTTTTAGACAGACATATATACGTAGTGATTAGAACATAACCTACATTATCTACAAGGTAGATAATCAGTTACGTGATTTGTCGTTATCAAGTAGAAATATTTAAAGATAGCAGGTGGTAGACAATGTTGCATATAAGTTTATTTTTAGCTCATAATAAAATAACATTGAACACATCTTACATTAAATTAGAAGAAATTGCGTAAGCTTTTCATGTTAACCTATTTTTTTTTTGAAGGCTCTTTAAGTAATGTCATTGCATTTTAGGCTACTAATACCGTACAAGAAAAGTCGATGCAGTTGCACAACATTGTATATCTTTAAATTCAATTAAATAGAAGCGTTTTATTAAGTTTATGTTTTTAAATTCTATGTAATAAATGACGGTATCCTCTTACAACCGTAAGTTTTATCCTTAACTGCAGAATATTGCTAATATACATATTCGCAAGGTTCTATTTTGATACAGGAAAATGCAACAGACAGAGTTGGCAATAATACAGACATGAGTCATTATTTGGTAAGAACGGGGCTTTTTACAACTTCCACTTAAAGACAAAATAACTGGTTACTTAGATGGAACAAACGAAAATAAACTTCGAAATATAACAAGTCTACTAGATATTCAGGAAAATTACTAATTAAAATCATCAGACTAACAATATTAATAAGAAATCGTCAAGTTTATCCATGTTTTAGGGAAATAGTAAAGTGAGTCCAGAGGCATTATTTTAAGGAAAATGATCGACTCCAACCTAATCAGCAGTAAATATTAAATCAAGTTCAATATATATGTATCTTCATAATGAAAAAAAGTGTAACAAAAAGATATAAATTAAAACAAATCAAAAACAATATTTAAGATGACAGACAAAGTAGTTTAAATATGAAAATCTAGAAACATTAACGACGCACTTTTACTAGTTGTCGTTTTGATCAATAATCGTGTAAGTGTAGAAATTAAACCTATTATTAGATCCCATATATCACTGATTATATTTAAGTATATAAATACAATACAAGTTATGATAAAGTATTTTTGTACACGAACAATTTCTTTTAAATTTTGATTTCATTACTACATATACTATATTACTATCACGCCAACCTCGCTATTTAAAATTACAGTATCTGGGAAAAATATTTTAATACACTCCGTTATTTTGTCCTCAAGTTTACTTTTGCCAATTCATAGTCAGAGTGCCGAGACGCGAACTCGCGGTATATTATAATCAGTAGTGAGAAATTATTTAAAGGATTAACACGTGTGTGTATTGTGTTTAAATGATATTGTTAAAATAAGGTATTCTTTATTATTATTTATTAAATTTAAATTTATAGCTGACAATTTAAGTTTTGTCATATAAACCACATCAATTGTCAATAAGTGCTTACCTAAATTGTATTTCATAGGTTGTTATAGAAATGTAACTATTCTTCTTCAATATTTATCTCTTGGGTTGTATTAAAACTTTTATATATAATTATTTGTGTTATTAAAATAATATGTCTTCTATTCGATGCAAAAAACAATCAAATTATTATTTCATATGCTTAGGTAAATATAAAAATCAAGTGACGCCGCTTAATTTAGTCATGTTCTGTTTATAGTAATATCAGTAAATTTTTGATAACACCAAACATAGGTAAACAATGAACTCCGTATGATGTATTTACACTAGAATTTTGTAAATTTTTTTCATTGGTTGGTTATTGTTTTATTGAGCAATGAGATGAGCGTGCAGGGGTCGCTTACCCCATGTGCTGATCCCATCGACTAGTGTAAATACGCCAAGCTCTTCGTTATTATATTTATTAGATGCCTAAATTTATGATATGCCTGTTAATAACAACATTATCTTAAGCACTATCCTATAATAGGACAATAGTATTTATTATATGTCGTGGGCCAATCGTTAAATTGGGCCGATCGAGATCTGCAGGAGATTTTAAAAAAATTCTTGGGCCGTATTCTAAAAAAAAACTTGTTTATAAATTCACAATAATTTAATATTTGATATATTAACTGTTATTGTTTCATTTTCAGATGCTGAACCAAAACAATCTCGTTTTACTTCTGTGTACATTAATAGGCCTGAATGATGCATATAGAATACTGGTGGTCTTCCCATTATGTGCCCCAAGCCACAATATACTTGGCAAAGGCGTAGTTAATAGTCTACTAGAAAGTGGCCATGAGGTAAGTTAGATATCAAAAGTAATATATGACTCATGGTCAGTTGCAGAAACGTCCATTAAGGTTTAATGACGGATTTAAGCCCTAATGAATGTCAAATATGTATGGATAATGTCGCTTTAAACTGATGACAATTTTAATGGATGTTTGTGCAACTGACTGTCAAACATGTTGCAGGTTGATCTGAGCTAAGAAATTCTTAAATATAATTATGGAAGGCATATCCAGGCTTTCATTGTTTTAAGGAAAAAAGGCTTTAAAAATTAATGAGTCCCATGCTTCCGTAGAGGAAATCGTACCCACAACCTGGGCGACTCTTCTAATCAATGAGCTACCCTGATAAGATTGATGAATTTCGTTACTTGTAACTTTCGTTACTTGTAAGCATGGAGTTCCAATGCGTATTTTCATCGATGTTTACTGAACATTGTTCAAAAAATAATCAATTTAACGCTTTTTTGAGGAAAATAAAATTTATTCTTTACAATGTCAGTCGATTGTAAAATCGCCATTTCGAGCTAGTTTTTAACCCTTTAGAAACTGTAAATTTATTAAAGCCGTCTAAATAATCTAATAAGCAGGAATTATTTACAAGAATTCAAATGAAATTTCTTAAATTCACTAAGACTTCTTAGTTTATAAGAATAAATTTAGTTTTATTTCATCCTCTTATTTATGTAAGAGTAATATTATTATTTCATTATTTACAGGTTGTTCAATTAACCTGTTTTCCTGATAAAGAAAATAAAACAAATCTGACACAAATCGATTTATCACATGTCAGGGAACGCGCACTAAAAGAAAATAAGGACAGTAAGTAAGAAAAGGAAATAATAAATTGCTTTAAATTATAAAGGCATGTACCATACTACAAAATCATAAACATTAAAGCTTAAACATTAAATCCTTAGATAGTAGGTTAGTTTTATGGTTGATGACGTCAGCGCACTAGTGGCGAGCGATTTCTGTAGCTTGCTTTCATTGGTCGACCATCGTTTTATTGGCCAATAAGAACAGTCCGTGGAGGTCACCACGTGCTAACTACGTCGACCAGTAAAACTGCAATGCTAATGATTAATCGCATCTCAATGACTTGCATTTTACCATTATACTCACCATTATACATTATACTATAAGGTAGAAAAGCTTAAGTCCAATATTATTAGTGCAATATCTTTCTCTTTCTTACTGTTTACTACTCTGTAACAAAAACAGTTTCGATATCGACATCGAGCGCTTTAACAACGTTGCGTCAAAGCGTAGAGGTTCAATCAAATAAAACCTACTTTTAAAAGCTCTATACTTTTACAGCGCTGCGCCCGAAGGCGAGTTCTAAGCTGTTTTTAATAGAATAGCATAGCTGAAATAATTGTGTTAAAACTTGGTAAATATAGTGACACTCACTTAGCCAAAGACGAATATATACATAGTTAAAATGTTGTGCCACTTTTGGAAGGTAAGTAAGAAAACAATTTATTTACAAACACTAATTATAATGTGGCATTTAACATAAAAGACTTGTTCCCAGAATCTAAAAACTGTGAATTTCAAGATAAAATACTTTTTTAGCTATTTAACACTTATAATTGCTTTTATACGTTTGTTTAATTTGCTGCTGGAAACCAATTTAATTACTGTCTGATGGCTGTAAACTGCCCCCCCCCCCCGTTGATAGAAGATCTGTAGCTTTCAAAGTTTTATAATTTGTACATAACTCTTTTTCGCACTATGACTCGAGCCGACGCCGCCAAGGCATCGGGTGGGCGTGCAATTGCATATATGTAATTGAATACTCGTAGTAATGGAGTACACACATCGGATCGACGTAGTCGTTGTTTGGTGACCGCGGAGCAGGAGGAGCCTGGGAGGTGCCCCGTTCTAAGGGAGGGGAATTCCCTTCGCTGTGCGGTTGCGACGCTGTGGGGGTCCTGGATTCACACATTACATACTACACATGCTTTCATACAGTTATATGTATCATACATTTACATATTTACATTCAGTTACACACACACAGAGAGAGAGAGATATGCATTCATATATACACTTATACGTACACATAACATTCTCACCTGGTTACTTGCCTGGGGAATTACATGCTGTACTTACCTGTTGGTTGGTGCGGCGCCGGATAGTGTCGAAGCCGCGACACGACGACAGGGGTTGCGTTCACCGACGGCCGGCCTGACTCATCCTGACCGCTCTTCGGAGCTGTAGAGGGACGTGCTCGGACTGGAAAGCAGAGGACGCATTAACCCACAGGGGGTATCCAAGATAATGGTTATACCTAAGCGGGTCCTCCCAACTGGACGGGTAAAGACTGGAAATCTTGTTATGCATTTCCAGCCCAGTTTTTGTGGGTATGCCCTTGCTATTTAATTAGACCCAGTCTGAGATGGATCCGCAGGGGAGAATCCCACATAAGTCGCCGACCCCGTGCTATGAGCGAGTCGGTATGCGTAAAGCATTTCTTAGCGTCATAAAAAAAGGTAGTAAGCAATGAAGTGATAACTTTACACCTACGTTTTTACATAGGGAACGAAATATAAAAAATGGATATATGTGTTACAATATTATGTATAATAAAAAAAATGGTCCTATAAACAAATAAAATTGGTGAACTATAATTTTAAGAGTATTGCCAATTTTTGTAGTTGTTTCTTTTCCCAATTTAATAATTATTATTTTTGTAGACATTGGTTGCCTAATATGTGCACATACTCGATGTCTAGCAGAATTTTACATTCGTATCTATAGTCGAGAGAAGTAATTACTTGAGAAATCTTAAGTATATACTTATTTTTAATCAAATAGATAAACATTTGAATTAAATAGTAATTATTTAACTATTAACAGCTCCTACTTCATTCAAATTCTTGTTTTGTTTGGCAAAAATATCTGCATAAGTTATGACATATTGCTCGTACTTCTCTCTACTATAGAATTCGAATTTTAAACTACATGGGTTAAGTAATCAATAATTACTCCTGAAGGATTTATAGCAATACAATATACTAGGAGTAAAAAATCATTTAATTTACGAATTAAATTTAATTTCAGTGACACGTTATTAACAACCGAGTTATTTGGATATACTTGAAAAATGATTACATTTTTTCAGACACCGTTCTTTTTTGTAGTTACTACACGATATGTTGCTCCTCTTTTAAAAAAAAAATCGATAAAACCGTTTAAAAGTATTTTATAAAGGAAAATAAATTAGTTTTGCACCATATTATTTCACAACGAATTTTTAAAATTACTTACCTTTTTTTAATAATAAATGGCTTTCTCCCGTAACATTTTAGTGAGTAACATTCTAAAATGTTACGGGAGAAATGGTAATAAAATATAATATTATATGATAATATTGCAGAGTACGAAGGATTTAAACTAAAGGATTTGGTCGGTCACAAGAACTTCGTGGATACCATATTTTTTTATTACATCGCATACGATTTCCAAAAGGCTTTCCTCACCGATGACGTCATGATGAACTTCCTGTCAGACACTGAACAACATTTTGATGCAGTTGTCGTGGAATGGTTCTTCTCAACACTTTATGCTGGGTAAGAGTTATAATTATTAGGCTATTAATGTCCCCATTGCTGGGGCACAAGCCTACATTGTGGATAAAGTTAGATCGGAATGGGCCATAAAACGATCCAAGTGCGGATTTGTCGAAATAAATGACGACTGATGTGACCACTATCAATAACCTAATATACTTTCAGAAGAACGGAGGAGCACAACATCAGAAATATTTGATCACTCATCCGATGACCAGCCCTTTCAAAGGTTACGTTACGCAATCGAATCACATTGACGCTATTGATGTACTCAAGCTTATCATCATCTTGCTATCATGATAATTTCTTTTACTATAATAAAAATTAAAAACTCTTATAATTGATTTGTTAATTTTTTTATGCTATTGTTCATAAATTATTATACTTTCACGTTTAATTATTGTATAGAAAATTAGACTTTAAATCAATATTTTTTTTATTAATATCGAATGTTATTTGCAGGATGGGCCCTGTATTCCAAGCCCCGCTGATATGGCTTGGAACCACTGAGGCTCACTGGCAAGTGCTGAGAGTAATTGATGAAATACCAAATCCTGCTTATACTATAGATATGTTCTCGGAAACAATCCCACCATTCAATTTCCTGGAAAGAGCAAGCGGACTCTGGAGTATATTTAAAAAATACTTTCTAATAACGTAAGTTTAAACTTCACCGCTACTTTTTCATTGCAGTGAAAACGCTACCCATCGCTCGTTACCCATTCCGTGGCCTCCACGAGTATAAAACCAGACTGCGCTATGGTATCTGGAATTCAAAATATAACTTATAAACTAGTATCTGCCCACTAAAACCCCATAGTGTACTGTATTCTGTCTTCTAGGGGCACTTTCACTGCGACTTATCACTCACGATACGCCAAACAATCGCCAAACCGGCCTGAGAATTTGTATATCCAAATATTTTTTATATAGAACTCGGTACATTGTCATCCCATGGCTATAAAGTCTGAACAGATTTTTATAGCCACTATAACCAAAAACTAATAAAATACTTCAACAATCTAATATGAAAGAACATTCGATATTACATAGACCCGTGCGAATTATATCTAGTTACCCTTGCGTCTTCACTCTAACTTCTTGTTCCATTTTACTTATACAGAAAATATAACAAACTTTATAATTTGAAAAGTACTTTTACAACTTGGTTCTGGATGAAAATTAACGCCAGTTTGATTCACAATCCGTCTCTTTATTTAACAATTGAAATTATAAAAATAATTCCTTAATAAATGTCACTACTGTAACTTCACAACATTGCTTGATCGTCCCGATTTCACTTGATTAGTTTTCGCTTCGGATCTCGTGTGAATTCACTCTCGTTTTCAGTTCACTTGGCACTGAAAGAATGGCGGGACGGGTAGTCCACCGCGTATTTATAGGGGTCGATACAGCATCATGTTCTGTTACATAGAATGTTCTAGGTTAGAACCTAGAACATTCTAGGTTAACCTCGGCGACTTTCCTTTGGTGTGGACCGGGTTGTGCAGCCAAATATATATTCCATTCTTAAAGCCTTTACTGTTAGCTCTGCGGTCATAACCGGTCTTCATCCTTTCTGATGCCTGTTGTCCAGACTGTCGAAAGTGTTCGTATATATCGTCCAATATCTGCCGCAACTCATTTGCATAATCTTTTATGCAACGTGGAGTATCCAGGGGAATACCCGTAATTAAGTCGGCAGACAACCGTAATGCACGTCCAAAATTAGCAAAATCCGGGATCACAGCAGTGCTTTCATACACGGCGCTCCGATATGAAAGAAGAAACGGTTAAATGTGCTTGTCCCGATCCTTTTGCCTGTTGTCCACTACTTTTGCCAGATAATGCTCTAAGGTCTTATTGAATCGTTCCACCTTCCTATCAGACTGAAAGTAATATGAGGTGGTTCTGGTTTCATGAGAACCCATCATACGGCAGGTTTCTTGGGAGATCTGGGACTCAAAATTCCTTTCTTGGTCGCTGTGTTTTTCCAACAAAACTCCAAACTGAGAGAAGAATTCATGAACCAGTTTCACAGTCACCGTTGATGCCTCTTGGTTAGGGTTCGTAAAAACAACCGGCCATTTTGTTAAGTGATCCATAACCACGAGAAAATACTTGTTTACACTTTCACGAGAAATGGCCCTGCTTCGCTATGCAACGCCATCCATTCCCACGGGATTCCAAGATCGTAGACATGTAGTGCACTCCTACTACGAGTGTGAGGTCCTTTGACAGCCACACACCTAGTATATTTGTGATATTAGTCCTTCACATCATATCGTCAGTAAATCCAGTAGAATCTCTCTCTGATCTTTAACAGAGACTGTTTTACTCCCATTTGATCTCCTGAGCATCCATCATAGTATAATATGAGCACATCTGAAGGTGATAGTTATTTCCCCGGGCATTTTATAATATCGTAACAGTACTTCCATTCTTGTTACTGTTATTAAAATAAATTTTGGTACTATGGCATTGGGCATATTCGAACTGTGTAGGATTATTTGTCTTCTGATTAGTTTATAATACAAAACCATTCATCACCATTTTCATTTTCAGTTGCATCGTGGAGCCTTTTGAGAAATATGTGTACAATAACGTTTATGGAGCTATAGGTGAAAAAAGAAATGTCACAATACCTTCCTTTAAAGATGCAGCTTACAATGCCTCTATATTACTTTTGAATTCGCATCCTTCCATCGGAATACCATTTAAGTTACCACAAAATGCACATTATATTGGTGGATATCATATCGATATTAAACCAAAACCATTGCCACAGGTAAGTGTGCCTAGTTCATCTATATTATTTATTATACAATATAAAGCTTATTTTTTTATTATTAATTATTAATTATAAAACTGAAGTGTTTGTTTGTATGGTTGAACTCGCTAATCTCAGGAACTACTGATTCGAATGGAATATTTTTTTAAAATAAAGATGTGCACAGAGTACCCTTGGACCAAGTGGGTGCAGTCGCGGTTTACAGCTAGTATTGGATAACAGAATTGAAAATTATAAATGCTTAGTTTATTTGTAGTCATTCACTCGATCTCGAAACTCAATAACTCTTTTACATGGAAGAGGAACCTCTACACCGCTTTTACAGTGACTCTTGGAAGTCTAGGAGTACATGGATAAAGTATGAAATTGCCGTTTTATTGTAGTAGCTTTCTTGAACTGACATAGAATCTTCATGGTTTGAGGTTTTGTCCCTGAATGAAAGTAATGTTTTGATTTTCCATAGTTTGTTTGTCTTATTAAAACAAAATTCTTTAAAAAAAATAATTATATGTTCAGTCATCGTTGGAATTGGTAAAGCTGCTCTGCACAGCGAATATTCACCATAATAACTATACTTCCTTTTATCCATTTTACATATTCAAGTAATTACAAAATGTAAAATATTTTAGGACTTCCAAAAACTCATGGATGAAGCGAAACACGGTGTGATTTACTTTAGCATGGGTTCGAATTTGCAAAGTAAGGACATGTCCGACAACATGAGGGACTCGCTTTTGAAAATGTTTTCGGGATTCAAAGAGACGGTCATTTGGAAATTTGAGAGTGACCTGGAAAATGTACCCAAAAATATACATCTGACAAAGTGGGCACCGCAGCAAAGCATTTTAGGTAAGCACTCGTAAACTACAGCTTAATTTCCCTGCCTTTACACCTACGACACATACTTCCGCCTACACGGAACCTATGATTCTGACGTTATTTGATTACTCTTTCATCTTATATACTTCAAAAGTCTTCATTTCATACGTTTCGTAAAAAAATTCTTAGGCACTTTTTTTACCTTACATGTACTTTAAGATTTACATTCTTTATTATTATAAAACAAAATTTGGATTTCACTCTAATTCCATGACCAACTAGTGACTATTGTTTATAATCAAACTAGCTCTCCGCCAGTGGCTTCTACCACGTAGTATTCTAGATATAAATCTTCCTCTTAAATCATACTACATTAATGAAAATCACATTCTAGTTAAACCGCTGCAACGGTTACCTAGTTTAAGAAAATCTCAGCGTAAAGCGACTTTATTTTATACTCTTTATAGATAAAGTAAAATATAGTAAAATATTTATATAAATTTTATCATTATGTCTGTAATCAATATAATTAAATCGAATAAAATGAACTCAAGAAACTATGTAAAGTACTAGATGTTTTCTCGAGACCATTTTATGAAAGAAAACAAGCGTCCAAACTGTGACAAATATTTTTCAGCCCATCCGAATATTAAGATGTTTATTACTCACGGCGGCCAACTGTCAACTACAGAAGCGATTCATCACGGAGTCCCAGTAGTGGGCATACCTGTATATGGAGACCAACACATCAATATGAGGAATGCTGCTGAGAAAGGGTACGGTATTGCCGTGGACTTAGCAGAAAACATGGCTGACGAACTATCAGTGGCCATTCGGGAGATTCTGAATAACCCAAAGTATGTTACTATTTTATAACTTTCACTTCCTACATTTTACATTATTTTGATAAGTTGTGCTATCTAAATCAACCAGGCTCAAATGATTATTGTAACTACTTTACTCAGTATACTCTAATCAGAAAGTTACTATATTTACACGAGTGTAGTGAGTGAAATGATAACTGTTCTATAACAGTTAGCAAAAAATGATACCAAATCTATTATATCAATAAATTATTAATTTTATCAATATATTCAGCATCTTTTTTATATTTGTTTTTTTTTTATTATTTCAGTTACAAAAATAGAGCAAAGGAGCTGTCTGCACTCTTCCACTACCGGCAAATGACTCCTCAGAAGGAATTAGCATACTGGGTGGAATATGCGATCAAAACACGTGGGGCACTCCACCTTCGATCTCCAGCCCTCAACGTGCCACTCTATCAAAAGCTCTATTTAGATCTCCTTTTAACTTTTGTTTTAGTTATATATGTACTGCGCAAAATGTTTAATCGGTTTTTTGGTAACAAAACATCTATAAAAATAAAGAAAAATTAATTATTTTTTTGTTATAATTCTACGAGAAAATTATGAGAAATAATAAGTGTAAAAGAACATTTTACGGTTGTAATTTAATATAGAATCTGAATATGTGTAATGAATCCGAATATGTAAGGGTATGTTACATAAAAAAAATAATGCCTTCGTAGAAATGACTTGAGGAAAACCAGGGTGATGACAAATGGAAATAAATTTACAATTAAATTAGGGAACAATGCAATCAAGTATACTCATGAATAAATACATTTATCTAGGACAGCTTATAACTCAAAAAGAACCTATGCACAAGGAAATTGAGAGATGAATCACTAATAACTGGAAGAGATATTGGAGCTTAAAATTATTAAATACTTGCATACTACCTGTTCTTATGTATGGCTTTCAATCATGGGCTCTCACGCAGGAGATGTCAAATAAACTTTCAACCTGCCAATACGCAATAGTAAGGAATATGACGAATGTAAAGATATCAGAAAGATTAAAAAAGTTGTTATCAGAAATAAAACAAAAATCCTAGATATATCATTGAAAATCCGGATACTCAAGTGAATCGGACACGACAAATGGAGTAAACTAGTGACAAGTAGGGTACCACCCCAGAGAGGGCACAAAGGTGGGACGACAACATCAAACAAGTGGCAGGCGTAATATGGAATAGAGTGGCTCAGGATAGACTGGCATGGAAAAGGTTGGAGGAGGCCTTTGCTGATTGGCAGACGGATCTACAGAAAATCAACAAATGAGTTGTATCTACTAGACAAAATTATAGTGTTAATAAATACGTAAATACTGTTATTAGGCTTAAGGCATGTATGCTCCGAATAAAAGGCTAATATTATTGTTATTATATTAGAAATGACTTAACTTCCTACATGAAATAAATCTACAATGTATATTATAGTAAATTCGATATAATTATTAATCAAACGAAGTACATACAATAATTGTATGCAATAATAATGATGTATTGTTCTCCCTATTCTAATCCTAAGAACATAATCGTGTCATACGAAGTATTAGAGAAAGGATTTTCTGAATTGCTTGTTCTTGGAAATTGCTGAAATGATATAACAAGAACAGGTTGAGCCTGAAGTCGCTTTTAAGGCCACTCAATTTCAGAGAGAGCATGTGCTTGCTACTGGCAGAGCAACCTGTTAGGGAATTTAAAACACAAGGAGTGCGACTGACTAACTCTCTAGCCATCAATCCAGTATACGACCTCGATGACTCGTAACACCGCTTTCAAATCCATAATCATCATTATCTATTATTCATGCGTCGTTATTAATACATAGTTTAGAACAATGTGGCTTTCCGTCGTCTGGCCCTATATTTGCTTAGATCTTTAAAACGACGCAACCGATTTTGATGCGTTTTTTTTTTAATAGATAAGGTGATTCAAAAAGATGGTTTTTATGTATAATACAAGACCACGTGGGGAAAGTTAGTTCAAGTATATTTCAAAGTAGTAAAATGAAACGAAATAACGCCATAATGTCACAAATATGTTGTATCCTATGCTAATAACTGTTATTTGAGAGTAAGGCGGAATCCCAGAATAAGCACAGGAACGATAAGAATTAAATTAATACTGCATCTGTTCTTTTGTTTTTCTTATATGTACTAATACAGTGTCGTTATGGTATAATTGTTTTGTATTCAGTAGTACTGCGAAAAACGTATCTTTGTAAAGATTGGATCATTTGCATTTGAATCAGTGCAAAGATCCGAATCAATTAATGCTTCATTGGGATCGTCGATTGTCAGATAGTTAGATTCAAGAGCAGAGAGCATGTAAGTGCTTACGATTAAGTAATCGTGTTACGAATATATTAATATTTGATATGGATATTTGTTTTTAAAATATAATAAAATTATTCTCGTACCAAGACAAAAAAATAACACTTTTTATTTTTTTTATATTAAGAAATTTCGAAATACTCTTAAAATCGAATCGATTCTCTTTCATATTTTGTTCAGGCTTAAGACTGACAATTTGCACTTATTTATATTTATACAATTTTGTAATGTTCTATTATTTATTTGTTCTATACACATGCTTAATGAAATTTAATAATTAAATGACAAAATCGGTTTTTACATTCTAAACCTTAATCATAATATAATGATTTCAAAACGAAAATCAAGTAAAAGCAATAAATAAACAAATATAGCCGCTGGCTGGCCGACAAGTGCGCTCATTTGTAACCGACACGCGATTCAATGTCGCCCGAATCTTTCCGAACAGTCGCTCAGTTCTGCTCAGTACATGTTTTCATTCATTCGTGTCAGTGAGCGCCACTGTTCCACTGATCCATTCAGAGCAAACTTTGAGATTCGGATCAGTGCACCATTTTGCAACAGTAAAAATCAGTAACTGATATCGGGATGGAGAGGGTGAAGGACTTTTTTTACCAAAAAAATCGTCGTTTATTCCCTATCAGAGCCAAAGGAGGTGCACGAAACGATTTTTTTGCACGGCAAATTGACGATTACGTATGTGCGTGTGTGCTATATGCGTCCATATATTTATACTCGTATAGGTATATGAAGAATTCTACCATTAATTTCCTTTGCTTCCTCTGCGCTCTTCTTAATTCTTATTAATTTACCATTAACTTTTTAATAATAGACAAACATGAAATTGCTCAAATTAATTCACCAAATATTTATGAAATATAACAAATATACTTTTGAAATTTAATTAATACCTTTAGTTGTCATCAATACAATATTTAATTTATTAAAATCTAATGATATTAGTTTACCAGTTCTACATTGATATGTCCCAATTTTTCTTGCCCATCTATACTTATAATAAATCTGTAGAGAGGTCAATTCTGTACATGAAATATATTTTCAAAATAACTATCAGGGGGTGATTAGGGATCGATACTGATGCCAAAAATGCAATCAGTAAAATTTTTGTCTGTCTGTCTGTCTGTATAACCGTTATAGAAACAAAAACTACTCAACGGATTTTAACGAAACTTAGTACAATTATTTTTCATACTCCTGAGCTGATTATAGTATACTTTTCATTACGCTACAATCAATAAGAACAGAGGAGTGAAGGGAAATGTTAGGAAAACGGGAGAAGTTACTCCATTTTTTAAGCTTCCGTCGCGTGTGCAACTTTAATGGTTAAAGCTACCCAGAAATCATGTATGACGAAAATGTTCTTCTTAAAGTTATATAAAAAATTACCACGACAGCATATGTCTATATTTTATGGTTGACTCACAATAACACGTGTAACTTCCGATAGCTTAGCAGTTCGAAGCTTTCTGATTGTATTTGTCTATTGTCTACTCTTACGTTTATAACACTTTCAGTCATCCCTAATTAAAAAAGTTAACAGTATTAAGTAATCCATAGAAAAGAATCATAGAAATCGGTATAGAAACACCAAAGTTATACATGAAATACGCTAATGATAAGCCATCGCGCGTGAATACTGAATCATGCTAGAAGGATTGTTCTGGCCAGTATTTCATCTATACTAATATTATAAAGCTGAAGAGTTTGTTTGTTTGAACGCGCTAATCTCAGGAACTACTGGTACGAATTGAAAAATTATTTTTGTGTTGAATAGACCATTTATTGAGGAAGGCTAAGCTATATAACATCACGCTGCATCTATTGGGAGCGAAGAAAAAATGGAAATCAAGAATATAACCTTACTCTACATCCTTTTGTAATTTTATTTGTGGTGGAAACAAATATCTTCTTGGGCCAATCTGATCAAGTACAAACGTCAATAAAGAAAAACCTATCAAAACATATATTTATACTAAACAACTCCAATAAATCCTCTTATTGGAGTACTTATTTAAATTGTTAATTTCATATTTTATAAAAAATGTATTTGCTCTTTTATTTCGTCTTTAAGTTTTTAATTGCTCAGTCATCAACCGAGCGCCTATTCACCGTAGATAGTCAGTCGTGAAACATAAATCGTAATATTAACATACGTGTTTGGTGTTTTAGTTATGGTGTTTTGATAAGGTAATTATTTCTAGTTGAATTGAATCATTTCATTATCAACTAAATGAATTTTGTTAATATATTTAAGCATCATGGTTTATAATGTTAGTTTAATTAAAACCTGTCAAAAAAGTATTTCGTTTTAATTTATTAAAATAGAAAATATAACACAATAAGTTGGGACTTTACAATCTATTTTTAAGATTCATAACAATTCACATAGTTAAATCAACAATAAAAAATAAGTCAATGATATTATTTCAGTAAATGTTTATCAAAACATATAAATTCTCATCATATTATGTTTCTCAAGATCCTTATATTTTTCTTCGTGACTTGCACTTTTAAAGTATTATATGAAGCAATAAATAAATAAACACTTAGATATATTTTTTTCTATAATTTATACCAAACTAATTGTTTTCTATATCTCTATAAATTAATACTTTTGTCACCCGTATGTTGTAACTTCGTATAGATGAAATAATTTTTGAATTTGATCCAGTAATTTCGAAGTTTTGTGTGATGCAAACAGACAATGAAATCTCTCCAATATAAAATATAATATGGTTTTCTTGGTATGAAGAAGAACACTTGATACATTAAACAAAATAATTTTGGACAACATCGCGTGCATTACTCAGATTCCAAGATGAATTGTGGACACCTCCTGCTGGATCCCAGATCCTTCCCCCAAAATAGAGAGGGATGCACGGAAGGTGTTTAATGTGTATGCTATCCGCATTTTGACTAGCCATCAGGCGGGTCCGTGTGGATGGAGAGCCCTACACACCCCCTGTTGTTAAGTTCCCGGCGGGAACAGTGAAAAAGAATTCCCCTACGTTAAAAAAAGAGTCCAATATGAATAGATAAAGTCTCTGGTATTGGGGACAATAAAAGTACCACAATATCCAGACTCAAGACAATATAGAATAATCATTTTTTTACATAAGCCCAACCGATAAAATAACACGAGACCATCAAATTCAAATATGTGGAATTTAACTGCCTATATTAGTGGTTTTTAATTAATTCCTATAGAATTAGATAAATAACGTAAGAAAATATACTTATTCTAAAATACTTTTATGATCATATCACGCAAGACAGAAAGCAATAAAAGTAAAACAATAAAAAGTGACAAAAGTCATAAAAAAATCGGCTTATCGCCTATATTATCGGACAGAAGAGCTATGTCGTCATCAAACCTCAGACTATTTATCCTATCTACGTTGATATTTTAGCCCCTTTTTCGTCAACTGGTTTTCTGAGACACTGTATTATCTCGACGGACTCCATTACCAATCTCGAACTGATTAGCTTATGAAGTCTTACGGACGACGTGATATTCATCTGTAAGTGTATCTGTAAAATCACATAGCATTTATTCTCTATATTATTTCATACTCTTTACCAGGGATCGCTAGTGATCCACGTACCACTGTCTAAGAACTACTGGTATATAGTAAGAATAATAGCTAACATATCTAAACTGGATATACACTTTAAAATTATATTGTCCTTACAGAGAAACTCTGTCAACTTTATGTAACAAGCGTCCTGTTGGGATCAACTACATTCAGTCTCTCATTTATATCCTGTCTCTAAGATGTTTAAAAATTCAATTTAATTATAAGCGCAGCAGTTACTTATCTAAATCATTATTTTAATCTTTTTTATGATACACAAGTAGAAATTGATTAAGACATACCTACTATTACTGATTCCCATTGTTGAAATCAATATTAAGTGATAATAAGTAAATACAAATATATTTTATTAATAGGTATTTAAGAATGAAATTAATGAGACAAAAATTACAACTGCAAATTTTTTTGATAAACCTAACACTTAAAATTCTTAATTAAGCTGGCCCATCACTTCTATTCTATTCTATGCACAGAGACATAAAAAACATTATCATCATTAACCTATTGTTGGAATAAAATCAAATCGATAAATGAGAATAGGCTATATCCAACAAACGGGCCTAGTATGCATTGATGACCACTGGTACCAAAGATTTAACTTGCCTTCCGAAGTACGAATGAGCTCGATAGAATAAATTTTTGGTAACCCTTTGAAAGGCCGATGTGAAAGTTGCTTAACTGCTGTGTTAAAGACCGTACGTCCTAACCACTGAACCATCGAACTCCTCTACAGAATCACAATTTTTTTTTAACATTAGGAGACGATTTTAGAATTTTTGAAAGGACATCGCCGAAAATGGCCCCAATACCATTAAATATTAATACTTCAATAATAATTACTAATTTATTTATTAAATTGGAATCAAATATTTGTTTGACACGGACAAGCTGCGATCCAAAATTAATATTTAAAAGTACTTTAACAGTAACATTTTTATTCGCAAATATTCACATTCAATATACTTAAATTCTATTAAGACAGATGGATGTAATTTACACGTCAGATCAAGAAGATCATTTATTTTTATTAGATAACCTTTAAATCATCGAACACAAAAACATTAAATTAAATTGACCGAAAATAAACTTAAATTTACTAAAAGCGCCATCTCTTGGTGATTTTCCAACTAAAACATAAGGACATAAAAACTGAATATTATACAAACTAAATTCATTATCTAAAACTCTTGTTTATTCAGAAAGATTGATATTCATACGTCATATCCTAAAAACTACTTTGTTTCTATTACATTACCTTTATATTTCTCGTAAACATATTAACATCATGTCATTTATGTATTTAAGGCGCCATCTTTTGATGTAAACCATCAAAAAGCTAAAGGTTTTTTAATTTTAAGCTTATCAATAGGTATATTATTTAACTATTAGAATGATTTATTTGTCTATTGATTGACTTAGAAACTTTTACTAATCACAACGAAAAAACGACTTTCTTAAAGTTGAGTTTTTTTGCTTCGACAATATAGACATCAATGTCATATCATGTACTTAGAGTGCCATCTCTTGGTGGTTTTCCAAACAAATTATAATCTCAAAATGAATTATATTTTGCGTGACAATAAGTTCTAAAACTCGGTCGCGGTATAATAAATACATAATGAGAATTAGTTAGTGACACACAATAAAATAAGTATTTTCCTATATTTCTTTGGCTCTGGGGCCACCAATGTATGAACGTTGAGCAATATCCTTTGAGTAGGAGTTACTTGTATGTAAAAAGAATTACATAGTTACTTAAATGTCTCAGAATCAGTAACCGATATTTATTTATTTAACCTTGTAAAACCAACAGCTTATCAAATCAAGACTTATAAAAAAATACATTTTATTTCAAGTCTTTAAATAATTGGGGATATTGTTATTAAACTCATAATTTTTTTTTATTATAAAACTATAACTCCTAGGTCGAAAAATGATCCTACTTCAGTCATCTACCATGTTATGATCCCAGCTATCAGCATTGCGTCTCATCTAGAAGTTCTCTACGTCGTAATTTTATTTACGAAACCTTATGTCTTTTTCAGATGGTAAAACAAATGATTCTTGCTTTGTTTGTGTGCGCATTTATAGGCCTAGAAGTTCTCTACGTCGAAATTTTATTTACGAAACCTTTTATGTCTTTTTCAGATGGTAAAACAAATGATTCTTGCTTTGTTTGTGTGCGCATTTATAGGCCTAAATAATGGATTTAGAGTATTGGTGGTCTTCCCTTTGTGTGCTCCGAGTCACCATATACTTGGCAGAAGCGTAGCTACCAATCTACTAGAAAGTGGCCACGAGGTAAGTAAGCTATAAAAAAAGTCAACGATTTTACCACTTTGTCTAAGCTGACGACAGAAATATAATATAGACATATAAATTAAATTTAAAAAGAATATGTGTCAATTGTGTACTAAGTAATTAAGTAACAATATTTATGATCCAACTATCCATGGCAGATTATTTAGTTGAAGCTCATTCTCTTAACGTCAAGGAATTTTGTTGTAGTCGATTTTAATTTATAACTCGTATTTTTGTAATAGTAACATATTTTTTTATACACAGGTTGTCCTTATTACTTGTTTTCCTGATAAAGAAAAAAAGATAAACTTAACACAAATCGATCAGTCACATGTCTTCGAACTCGCACAAAAAAGGAATAATAAGAATTGTAAGTAAATATAGGAACAATATAAGAAAAAAACGATTAAATATTCCTAATGAAAAATTTACTTAAAAAATCCACTTTGTCCCTGGCACTCTAAGACTGGACTCGATTCCATTAACTTTATCAATCAGGGCGACTGCTCTAACCACTGAGCTATTCAGGATCTAAGAGGCACTTGTTGTATTTCGCTACTACAAGGCGTATTTTCACCAATGTTCCGGCCTACCTACCCAAACAGCTGAAAGAAATATTTTTAGAAATAATAGGTCTTTACTTATAAAATTGCCGTTCTGCCGTATATTTCAATTCATAATATTTTTTTGGCTGATAATTTCAAATTAATTTTATTTTAAAAACATAAAATATTTTTTCTAAAATCGTCATTTGTTTAATAGTTAGTTTTTTTTAACGCATTAGACTACTTTTGTCGTCATAGATAAGTTAAAAATTCGAGTAATTATGGAGTATGAGTACCGTCGTGGCAGCAAAGCGGCACAAGCGGCACGCAACATCAACGACATTTATGGTGCGAATACTACAAACGAACGCACCACCCGGTTTGCCCGCTTCCCTTTGGGAAATTTTGACCTGGAAAATGAAACCATCCAAAAATTTGGTCGACAATAACGAATTAAAGGTGATTTTGGAAACTGATGAAACAATCTGTTGTTAGATCAAAAAAACATTGGTCCATTTGCATCAAATTGGCAAGGTAAAAAACTTGAAAAATGGATACCCCACGAACTCAGAGATCGCCAGCGCGAAGTACGCGTCGAGACTTGCCTTGCACTGCTCAACAGGCATACAAATGAAAGAATTTTGAACCGCATTGTTACTTGTGACGAGAAATGGACTCTGTTCGACAATCGCAAGCGCTCAGCAAGTTGGTTAGACCCTGGTTCAGCACCCAAACAATGCCCATAAACGAAAAATTACTCCTATAAAAGTGATGGTCATTATTTGGTGGTCTAACGTGGGTGTATTTCATCACAGCTTCTTACCAAACGGGGTGAGCATTACTGCAGATGTGTACTGTGAAGAACTGAATACAATGATGGAGAAGCTCGCACGTCTCCAAACAGCTTTGGTCCATCGTTCGGTTCCACTACTCCTGCACGACAACGAGCGCAACAACCTCATACTGCACAACAGATAGACTCTAGGCTACAAGAGCTGGGGTTGGAAATTCTCCGGCATCCGCCGTACTCACCAAACCTTGTGCCTACAGACTTCTACTTTTTCCAGAATTTGGATAACTTCTTGGCGGGAAAATATTTAACACCCGAGAGGCAGTACAAAATGCCTTTGAAAATTTGTTGCCTTCCGTTCAGCTCATTTCTTCAAGAAGGGCATTGATAAGCTACCAATGCGTTGGCATTGATTACTTTGATTAATAGAAATAATTAAATATAGAAAAAAATACGCAATTACATAAGTATTTCATAGGTAATATTTAAACTTTCAATGGAGATGAAAATTTGTTCTAATTATTATATTTGATTAATTTTGCATTCACTATACTGAAAAATATTCTTAATAAAAATGCTTAAAAATGCATTTTGTCTCTGAGACTGCTAACCCATCTCAGAGTGGATTTTTTAAGAATTTTTAATTAAATATATTTTTCAGTATTGCACTGTGAATGCAAAATTAATCAAATATCATAAAAATAATAAAGTCTAAAATTCAGTTATTTCGGTTTCACGGCCCCCTTCGAGTTATTAGATCATATAATGTGCTTTAAACAACTTAATTGAATCAATAGTTTCAGAGAAGATTAACTGTGACAGATATACTGAGAAGTAACCTTATAAGTATTCCGATAATTATTTCTTTTGATATACAGAATCCATTCATTTGTAATGGAACTCATTTTTGCACATGTAAAATGAGTAGCTACTTGAGTAGAAATTCAGAATTACCTATTCCAGGATTTCTGGCCATCGAACCACTAGTGGAAGAAAAAAGATAGTTTACACGAACGAAGTCGTTAACAGAAAGCTAGATGAATAATAAGTAAGAGTAAATTGCTTCATGATATTGCAGTCGAAGAAGAGTTCAAATTGAAGAATTTGGTCGGCCGGAAGAATTACGTTGATTCCCTGTCCTTCTATTACATCGCCCATGATATTCACAAATGGTTCCTTACTGATGACGTCATGTTGAACCTTCTAATAGACACACAACAGCATTTCGATGCAGTTGTCATAGAATGGTTTTTCTCTACACTCTTTGCTGGGTAAGCTATACTTATCATGATAATATCTGGTCGAAAAATCACACATTTTGAATTTGACTATTTTATATGAATATTTGATTTTGCTAACCTATTAGTACCAAAACCAATTACCAGATTAATAATGAAAAACCAATTGTTATCACTGTTGATGGTGCTACAAATATTTAATATTTATAAATAATACGCAACCTTTATTATATGCATACTGCTTCAAATACTCTTTGAGTTGTGATTCAAGTTAGAACTGGTCAGTGAAGATATGTAATGGTTACATTTATAATAATAATTCTGTCTCTACTAATTGAAATATAATTGCTAATATGTTAAGAATAAATTAAAATTAATATGATTATTATACCTTCCAGTTTAGTTGTTTGTATTTTTCAACATAAGCAAATATTATTTGCAGTATAGCCCAAGTTTTCCAAGCGCCTTTAATCTGGGTCTCAACCACCGAGGCCCATTGGCAAGTTCTGAAATTGGTCGATGAGATATCAAATCCCACCTACACTATAGACATGTTCTCCGAAAATAATCCACCATTAAATTTTCTGGAAAGAGCAGTCGAACTCTGGAATGTTTTTAAAAAATACATTTTTTTAACGTAAGTATTACCAGTACTATACTCTTTTTTATATTTATGAAAACGCCTTTTATAAACGCCGTTGTTACTCTCGAGTACCCGTGGGTTCAAACAGCTATAGTTTATGTGTATCTGTAATATAGCTGACTACTTCATCGAGCGATTGGTCTTGTTTATCCTCTCCCAATCTCTGATCAATCTTACCACAATCTAGCATAGATGTCACGATATACTGAAGTAACTTAACGAACCTTGCATCTCAATTCTAAGCCTAATACTTCTAGAATATTATTTAAAAATTTAATGTTATTAAAATAAATTTTGCGTTATGACATTTCATGGATCCTGATTGCGTATAATTATTCACATCACAATTTTTATTTCTCAGTTGCATCGTGGAACCTCTTGAAAAAAATGTTTACAACAGTGTCTACAAACCAATAGGCGAGAAAAGAAATGTTACAATACCTTCTTTTGAAGATGCAGCATATAACGCCTCTTTATTACTTTTGAATTCACATTCTTCCATCGCACTACCATTTAAATTACCACAAAATGTAAAATCTATTGGTGGATATCATATCGATATTAAAAGTAAACCTTTGTCACAGGTATGTTTGAAAATTGTGAATTCTTAGTTTATTCATATGGTCGGCCGGAGTAAGCAAATCAATATGCCTATATAATATAGCCATCACAGTTTCTTCAGGAAGCCTAGATGTTCATGGTTATTTTAATAATTAATTAGCAACTTTCAGTCTCAACCTCTCAAAATAGATCTCACAATTGTGTCCTGGTCTTCAAATACTGATATGCACACAACTTGATTTAAATATTTAATTTCGGGTTTCTTTCGTTTAAAGTTTTGATTTACTCATACATTTCAGACTTTAGACTAAGAGGTTACTAAGCATGCAGTCCATCAAGCAACAAGCAATGTCACTAGTCTTTCCTGTTTGTGTGATCACAAGGAAACCAGTAGGATTTCGTGATAACGAAAGCCCATTTCGCAATGCCAAATCTTTATGTTATCATAGATAATATTTATGTTGTTTGTTTACTCTTTGTTGTTGTTAAAAAAAATCTATTTTATAACTGTCCATTTTGTGTTTAGTTTCTGCGTGGTGTCACTGCTAGCCGCAGCAGAATATCAGTAGGCTCTACTTTCTACTTGTACTAAGCTGAGACCAGCTTTGACAACTCACACCATGGCACACACTATTGCATTGTTTTTTTTTATTTTTTCTGTTCTTTTTCATGTATTTTTTTATTATTATTTTATATTTTTAATTTTTTCAAATTGTATATTATGTACATGATGTGTGATGACAAAATAAATGAATTCTATTCTATTCTATTCAATAATAAGTTTAACTGATTGCAGATGCAGTCATTATCAATAGCTTAGGGGATCTAGAGTTAAAAATTTTCGGCAAGTCATCCGATGACCACACTTTTAAGATAATGCTAAATCTTCGATATTGCTGGCCAAACGCTCCAACCGTAGTCAATGCTCCTGCATTCATTAAGATAGTATTAGTTCAGAATAGTACATATAGTGGTCATCATAATGGTGTAAATACATATATAGTTCCTTGTTAAATTCCTGAATAAAATTAGTGTTTTGATCGTCTATGTAACTTCTACTACTTATCTACCTCTTGATAGCTACTATCTCTATTTATCCATAGCACATGGAATCATAACTTAAGCAAAGAACAGCATTTTAGGATCTCCAAAAACTAATGGACGAAGCTAAACACGGTGTGATTTACTTTAGCATGGGCTTAAATTTGAAGAGCAAGGACATGACCGATAACATGAGGGATTCCCTTCTTAAAATGTTCTCGGAATTAAAAGAGACTATCATTTGGAAATTTGAGCGTGACTTGGAAAATGTGCCCAAAAATATATATCTGACTAAATGGGCACCGCAGCAAAGCATTTTAGGTAAGTAAAAAATCGTAATCAAGCCTAAATTAAAAATAGGTTCCAGTTTCTTCCTATGTCTATATATGTTGATCCCATATGGGAAAATATTTTTTTTCTTATATTTTCTCGCTTATACACTACCAAGAAGATAAGCAGACGACCTATCCTTTTAAAGCTATTTTATAATTCTTTCATTCTATCTTATAAACATTACATTATTTCATTCTTTTATAGGTTACATTAAAATTAGATTTTTATGTAACCTATGAATTAAATGAAATGATTAGATGGAACCGAAAGATGTTACTACAGACCGTGCCTTCTGGCGCTCCTGTCTACACCACAACAGTTCCTTTGCGAAAGATACATATATAGATAAAGAGATTTTTACAGTTTTCATTGAATTAACATTTATATACTTTTATAAAGAATTGATTGTATGTTTGTTTGCAATGAATAGACTCCGACACTACGGGACCGATTTTAAAAATTCTTTCACCTACGGGAAGGTACATCATATGTACTGAACATAGGCTATATTTTATATTGAAAATCAGCAAATTAAGGGATTAATATAGGAGTGGATGTTTGTTTTGGGAATTAAAAGGTTACGAAAGTAACCATTGATTCCATTTAATTATAAAAAATATATCATTGAATTATATCCGTGGTATGATATTGATCGATAACTAAATTAACAGTTCTCTAGAGACCACGCAGGTGAAGCCGCTGACAGAAAGCTATTTTTATATAAAACATAAAAAAGTACTTGATACTACTTTCATTCTTTTTTATTCTTACAAATTCTTTAAAATTAATAAGAGCTTGTAATGCCTTTTAACACAATGTGCTATTAACATAGGTTTACATTTGTATTAACATAGGTCACAATAACATAAATTATCGTTATAATTAAATTAAATAATATGGACTTACGAAACTAAAATAAAAACATTAATATGAAAAACTTTAAGAAGGTAACAATAAAATATTTTTTAGCCCACCCCAATTTAAAGATGTTCATTACTCATGGGGGCCAACTGTCAACTACAGAAGCGATTCATCACGGAGTTCCGATTGTGGGCATACCAGTTTTTGGAGATCAGCACATCAATATGAGAAATGCTGTGGAAAAAGGATTCGGTATCGCCGTGGACTTATCGGAAGACATGGTTGGTGAACTTACAGCAGCCATTCAGGAGATACTAAATAACCTAAGGTGTGTTATAACTTCTTGACTTTCATTAGCTATTTAGTTTATGCATTTAAAATAATTATAAAAGTATAATGAATGAACTACGCATTAGTTTTAACAACACAATCCAATCCAATCCATTGAAATAAAAGCTTAAAGTATTGAAGAACAATCAAGAATACTCACTTTTCACCTTAAAAGGTTATTTAATTTTTTTTACACAAAATTCCTCTTCATTTTAGAAGAATTTGTCTCGAAGAAACAATAGATAGCGCTAGAACCGAAGCGGATACAAACCTTAAAAAGCACAGGTACCGTCCGAAAATGGCCAAGTGCCAGTGGGAGAACTTCTCAAAATAGTACATTTTTGCAAAAGAGATGCTTAACATGATATATGAAACGCCATGATCAATACATATTTCGTGAGCAATCGAGTTCACCAGATCATGAAAATGTAACATAATTTTCGATTCAACGCAAAGATATAAAACAATATACTTATCATGCTTATTGTCCAATGACATGATAAAATTATGATAATTGTACTAGGTATAGGTTCTTTTAGACAATCTGTATACTTCTATATAACGATAAATTGCTAAAATTGGTATTGCTTTTTACTATTATTGATTAAAATTGAAATGAGGTTAACTTAAAAAAATCTAAAAACACTTTTATTTTTAGTTACAAAAATAAAGCTAAGGAGCTTTCTGCACTCTTCCATTACCGACAAATGACTCCTCAGAAGGAATTAGTACATTGGGTGGAGTATGCGATCAGAACACGAGGGGCACTCCACCTTCGATCTCCAGCCCTCAACGTGCCACTCTATCAAAAGCTCTATCTAGATCTCCTTTTAACTTTTGTTTTTGTTATATATGTACTACGCAAAGTGTTTAATATGTTATTTCCTAAGAAATCATCCTTAAAAGTTAAGATAAGCTAATATAATTTTATAAGAAATGCGAGTACATACCCAAGTCAGAATACAATTATGTGATGGAAAATTGTTTTTTAATATGGAATATTTGCTTGTAATTGTTGACAATGATGAATCGGAAACATTTATTACATTAATTCCCTAAATAAAATCTTATTTTATATGACAAAAATGAATAATAAGTTGTTGTTATGAATTTAGTGTTTCATTTAATAATCTAAGTTCAATTCTCTTCAAAAATGAATTTGAGAACGGCAGCACCTCGATGTTTGAAAATGTTTGAAAAGGAGTTGGTCCTGACTTTATTTTCAGTTATAACACCCACCAATATTATACCGGGCTCACTTTTGGCTGGTTAGCGTCTGTTTTTATTCAGCGTACACATCGATATGCCGATAACAATGATAATAATATAATTGATATTATAAAGAAACTTATAAGGAGACATTAATTTGTTAAGTTAAAGAATTTAAAAGGAAAAATGACTCTACAACAGAAAGACTCGACAAACAGACTCTCAACTTCGATATCCTACTAATATCGTGAAGGCGAAAATTTGTATGTTTGGATCTTTGTAACTTCTTCACGCAAAAACTACTAAACGCATTTTGATGAAATTTGGTATACAGGCAATTTTTAATCTGGATTAATATATAGGCTCCTTTTTATCCCACTAAAAGGTTCCATAAGGATAGAAGTACCTCCAAGGGTGTCTATTTTTGTGAACGCTGTTTAAACGGCAAGAGATATATGAATGCCTTTTAAAGAAAAGTTCTTTACAAGGCATTCCTATATTCGTATAAGTGCATTTAATTTTTTTTCCGCCTTTAGATGATTATTTGAGTAGGTGATATGAAATCCTTATCAAAATAAATATGCTTATCTTCAAAGAAATTTTACGTACATTTAAATTGACATTTATACCAAATAAATTGGATGAATAATTTATATTTTGCTACGATGTTTTTGAGAAAAGAAAATAACTTATAATGCCGATTTTCTAAATACTTTTTTTGTGGGCATGTATCTATTATTATTTAGCGGTATTTGTTTAAATGTACACGATAACACGTAATTTATAAATACTGTAGCAATTATATTATTGTTTTAATGAAAGCGTTTAGTAACAAGAAACACCTATTCAAGGTGATATTGGCAAACCACATATCCAAGAAAATTATCAGTAGTAATGTAGGGCTTATTTATGAAGAAGGGCTGAAGAAGGATGAAAAATATAAGCTGCACGGAACCATAATTGTTTGAAAAAGTGCTGGGAATCATCAACGAAAAGAGACGGCTGCTAGGTCTGCCGTATAACTACATTAGTTGAGGTTGGATTGCACTCAACGTTCAATATGTATTATTAGATCACATATTTAATATGTTTTATAAATCGGGTTGAACCCAATGCAATTGAACGTGGAGTACATTTTGGTTACATTCAATATCAATCAAATCAACGCTAATTTCGTCACTCGGTAGGCCTGCTGAAAACCATAGAAAACAAGACAAGGGAGAATGTATGGATACTTCATACAACAAAACGACTCCTTTTAACTCGGGTTGGAAGCAAAAATACGGTAACGACAAGTAAAAATTTGATTGCGTTACTATCGAGAATCACACGGAAACAAATGGAAGTTACGATAACCGCGCTAAGCAAAATCTCAACTCACACAATCTCAGAAACTCGGAAGATTACTTACAGCAGTATATTCTGGCCCTAAAAAAATAATAGAAATAAACATGAGCTCTGTGCATAGAGTTTGATATTTCATGGAAACGACATTGTCAAAAACCGGTTAAGTGCGAATCGAACTTGCGCATAGAGGATTTCTTACCGGAGAGGAGAAAAAAACGACATTGATTGTATGGCAACCCCTTAAATAGTCATTTTATTATATTTTTTGGTTTTCGTTGTTACAGCGCCAACAGAAATATATTATCTGTGAAAATTTCAATTGTCTAACTATAACGGTTCATAAGATACAGCCTGGTGACAGACGGACAGGCAGACAGACGGAAAGACGGACAGCGGAGTCTTAGTAATAGGGGCCCGTTTTTTATGTCAGTAAGTTTGGAACTCTAAAACGAATATCACTGTAAAAAATCTTCGCTAAATCATACTATTACAATTCCTTCGATAAAGTAACTGATATCGAGGCTGCAGTATACTACTAATCAAATTTTTTTTATAGTTCCCCTCCTCAACAAGAATTTGTCATAAGAAGGGTTATTTTACGACTTTCATGCATATTTATTTATAAAAATAAACATTTTTATTTTAAAGTTCCTATGTGACGACAACCATAGCAAGATGATTTAGGGGATGTTTTTCTCCCAGTTTTTTCATATTAAAACAAAACTACTGATCTAATTTCTTCAAAGTTTTGAGGATAAACTCTTTCAAACAAAAAAGAAGTGCAATATACAGTCAAATTGAAGATCTATTCTTATTTTTTGAAGGCAAACGAAGTTGCGGGCAAAAGTTAGTAATATTATAAAAGGGAAATATTTGTTTGTTTTTTAGACTCCGAAGTCTAAAACTACCGGCCGAAACTTTATAAAAGATAAACCTCTGTTATTTTATTTTTATCTTTGGATTCTTTATTTTTGACCACTTTTTGACTATTTTTTTAAAAAACTGCATGTCAGCTAAAGTGAAATAAACAATAATCGCACCCATAGATTTATAATATTCAATGTAAGGTCGCACCAATTTAACGTAATTGGATAGATCTAGTTCCCCCAATATTTCCTTCGAGCTCTTAATGAAATGATTTGTGTATTATATTATTGTGTGATTATTCTGTAATTGCACAATGCTCCATAACTGATACAGTTTAACACGAATGGAATATCATGAGCTACCTCGAATTCGTCGAAAAAAGTAGAGATCCCTTTCCAGTGACCTTAAAGTTTAACCTTCATTGCACTTAGTATTAATGCCTATCTGACTGAATATGAGGACCGCAGAACGTCAGAACTGAAGATATGTGATATGACATTCAAAACAATGGGACGGAAATTCCGTGGAGTGTGCCAAACTCGACGAAAGATCAGACGCGTTCTAACGCCTTCAAATCAAATCAAATTCATTTATTTGATATTAGTTATCCGCCAGCGACTTCGCCCGTTTCTTCACCTGTTTAGTGAGATAAATAGTATCCCGTATATTAATCAAGTCTTAGAATTTAATTAAATAATAATTAATTTGGATAAGGTTTCATGTCATGACACGGATATAATTACAATGACAAATTTAATGGTAAACAATGTTAACTTTTGCAACATTTCAATTCCCCATACAAACTCCTCTTATTCATCCCTTTATTTGCTTTCTATTGGACTAAAATAAAGACTATACTCACCGCATATAATGTAGCTTCCAATAGCTGAAAGAATTTTTAAAATCGGTCCTTTAGTTTCGGAACCTATTTGTTGCAAGCAAACAAACAATCAAATCTTTCCTCTTTATGATATTAGTATAGAAGTATAGATATATGCATAATATGACACTAACGGATAATTAATACTTCTGTGAAAAACTTGATGAACCTTACATAAGATTTGGACCAGCCCTTAATGTTGTTAGATGATTAATAGTAGCCTATAGATAGTGATAACTAGGTGAACAAGTACTATAAAAGTGTAATGCTAATAGAGATGAAATAATAATTTAATAATTTAAACCTAATTGCATGATACAGAGTTTCAGTTCTAACAATATTTGCTGCGATTACAAGACAAAACCAATATGACAAAATCAATGTCTATCAGAAGGCATAAAGCTATTCCGCCTGTCAGCCAGTTTCTTATCGAAAATATCAGGAACTATCATAGATTTGATAGCATTAAACATTTCTGAAACTATCGCTAGCAATTCTATTGAGCAAAACTATTGCTTACTTCTAATTACTGAGCATTTATTCCAAAGAGAATTTAAGCACTACGTTTTAATTTATTCTAACGCTAGTCTAAAACTCTACGTTACAAATGTAATATAGTAACGTGATAAACACAATATATGCTTGTGTTATATATTGTTTTTTCTTATTTTTTATGGGATAGGGGGCAGACGAGCAGACAGATCACCTGATGGTAAGTGATTACCGTCGCCCATGGACACCTGCAACACCGGAGGGGCTACAAGCGCGCTGCCGGCCTTAGAGGGAAGGATTGAGGGGTAGAGGGAAGGGAATAGGGAGGCGTTGGGCCTCCGGTACCCTCACTCACACGACGAAACACAACGCAAGCGTTGCTTCACGTCGGTTTTCTTTTTGTATTAATTGTATATCTTTTTGTATTTATTGTATTAAGTGTATTAATTGTATTAATTAATGAAGATAATAGTATTGTTATAACCATTATCCTCAAAAGTAACATTACAATTTAATACAGTAGCTCCATGATAAATTAGACCTTGAATCATTGGTCAACTCTATCAAGGTAGACGGTATATCCGGTAGCAAACAATGAAGTTGATATTGCAGTAGTACAAATTTCAAACTCGATGTTATAATACGGATAAATGTGAAAACATTCATTCTCTTTAATATATATTTTTTTTGTAATATAGTTAGCTGGTTTATTAATAAAATATAACGACCAAAGAATAGCGACACTACACCGTGGGTTGTAATATATCTAATACTGGATCATTTATCTAGTGGAAGTACGAGTACCAGCAAAATAATAAATTATATGTTTGTCAATCAACTAAAACTAATATAACTACATCTAATTTACTCATATTTTCAATGATAAGATAAGCCGGAGAATAATATTGAGATCGTAAATTCTCTCATAGTTTAGTTTTAATTGTAACTTATAAATGTCAATCATTATGTTATTAAGATATGATAGGTCTTACAATGAAAGTAATCAATAAGTAAAAAACAAAAAAACTATATTTTTTGTAGAAGTAGATTTTATTGCCATTTTTACACTGGAGTAACGGATTTAGTATTAAATAGCCTTATTTTTTACATTTAAGTATAAACATTGTCCATAATAATACGAGTATAACCTCAATTACCTTAATTCAAAATTAAACTTCTAAATATCCCAGAGAAATGTAGACTTATATTCCTAAAACATCCACAGATTTGATATTTAGGTCATTGATTTAAGTTGCGTTTGTCAAGATAGTTGTCAGTATTATTTGTCTGTCACAAACAGCACACGTAATCTCGCAGTTTTAATTGTAGTAGTTTCGTAAAACAATATAGTTTATTATTAAAGAACTTTGTTTGCTGTAAACATAATAATTCATGTACCTAATTGTTCATCGAATGTTTTATTTGTGTAGTGGTAATTTTTTCACTTTAAATTCTATTCTCATTTATAGCATATAATAGCGTAAACGTTTTCAAGAAGATTTTGTGATTAAACAATAAGGGGCCAACATATTCCCTTAGGTATAAAATATATTCAAAATGCATTTGTATCGTTCTTTGTTTGCCTTGGTGCTCTTAGTTTCAGTTAATGCTTATAGAATATTATTAGTGTACCCGTTACCTCTGAGAAGTCTAAACAAACTGGGTGAGGGTTTTGCGAGACATCTCCTCAATGCAGGGCATGAGGTAAGTCAAATTTCTCTTACACACAATCATTTTATTGATATGCCCATTGTATTGATGATATTTATAGACTAAACTGTGGTTTTAATATGATGGAAAAATATTGCCGTTTTTCATCGGTCACATGACATAGGAGCAATAAAATTACATTGTATCTATTAGTTGCTATTATTAATTCAGTATCACAAAAATATTGTTATTTTATAAATAAATTGTTATTTTATGTGTTATTGTATGATGTGTTGTAGGTGACCTTTGTAACGCATTATCCCGTCAAAACTGTTACTGACAATCTGCGTCAAATCGATCTAAGCAGTAACATCGTGGAAATGTCAGGTAAACTTTACATTCCAACAATACAGTAGTTACATACTTAGATTATACTTTATTATTTAGTGGAGTTTAAGATTTATTAAAAAATATTGATTAATTGTTTACAGACAATTATACCTTCACTATACGTAGTGTAATGAATTCAGAAGCAGTCGTAAATGATGTGAAAGTATTGCAAGATTACGCTATAATAAATTCAATCGCAAGTCTTGGTCATAAGAATTTTAAAGAATTACTGGAAGACACGAATCAGTCTTTCGATGCCGTATTGGTTGATTATTATGAGATTGAAATTTATGCTAGGTAAGTGTATTTTCATGGTAAACAATAAACAAAATAAAAATTAACATTTAATTCCAAAATAGTTCCAGTTCATAATAATGTTGCTATTACCTAACTTCTCTAGATATAACTTTAGCCATAGGATACAACATCTTAGCGATTATATAGCGCTATTTCGTTTAATTTTGCTACTTTAACATGTACTTCAATAATGAAATCGGAATAACAAAGAATGATGATTATACAGTGTTACCATACCTGTCATTTATTACGATTCCACCAAAAGATATTTCAATATTACATAAAGCATAATATGATCATCAACATGATAGAGTCAAGGTTAAAGTGCTAACACTTTAACCTTGACTCTATCATGTTCCTCTCGAACGCCATCGCGATCGATCGACATTGCAATTGTGCCATTCCATACTCTTGCTTGATTCACTAGCAAACTGTGGCTCTAGTGTACTCATTTAAGAGTACGAAACGGCATCATTGCAATATCGATCAGTCGTAAGTAAGCATGCTGATCGTGTTCAGCTTGAGTTTGGAATGGCAAAACATTTTGTTTTGTTCATCACACATTTACTAAAGATTATTATAATTACAGAAATCGCGACAATATACCGATCTGAATACTCTGTTTTTCCGGAAACGAATTTTCGTCTATTTTGGTAACGAAAGAAAGGCATATTTCGATAATTTATAATGCAACGAACTAAATCTCATAATAATTTTTTATTTTTTATTCTTTTTTTATTTTTTTATACATGATGATTTTCACAAAATTATAAGAACTATTCGAAATTTTCCATCGTTCGTTCACAAACAAAATAGGCACTATGCTTCATAGGCACTAACGTTACAAATATAAGACATCATGTTGATAGTGTCTCTCAACTAACTAACTACCTCAACTACTAACTCAAGTTATTAAAGCACCGATATTATGGAAAACTGAAACAACACTTAAACCACAGACAATGTAGAAAGATCATTTTCTACAATGAGCCGTAGCCACTAGGCCACGGAGATTGACATGATAATAATAATATATCAGAAGTTCAATTAAATATTTATAACAAAATAGAAAGTTGGTTAGATAAGGTATTTTTTTTTTTCAGCATAGCTTCTCTATACGACTGTCCAATGATCTGGGCAACATCAATGGGACCCCATTGGCAAGCACTGCGTCTGATCGACCAACCTTCCAATCCTGCTTATACGGCTGATTATCTATCATCAAACAACGCACCTTTTACTTTTCGGCAGAGAGTCGAAGAATTATGGGCACAAATTAAGTGGAATTGGCTGAAATGGTACGTACAATTTCGATACAAAGTGCGGGAATCGTGGGGAGATGAGTTTGAAATCGCACTTGCAGAACAGAGAATAATTTAAACTCAAACTTTTTATATACTTACATAATGACAGAAATACATATTTTACATTATAATATCGCGACTTACCATGATGAAGTTTATATACTTAATTAAAAGACAGTAATTATTATGAAAATTCAGGTAATGACAATATAACGAATAAATACATAAAGCGATCGTTATTCAATCGGTAAATTCTTCAGATTAGAGCTTCAGGGACAAAGAATAAAGACTGATGGCATAAAAATATGAACCATGAATCTTGATCAGCACAATACCTACTTACACATTATATACACAAAACCTCCTCATTAGAGAAAATATAATCTTTTAACTTTTAAATTACAGGACATATACCCTGCCGAAAGAAAAGGAAACATTCGAAAACATATTCAGGCCTCTATTTGAAAAACGTGGGAAGTCATTACCCGACTATAACACTTTGTTGTATAACGTCTCCCTCATGTTTAGCAACGACCACAGCACTTTCGGTGGGGTACCAAGTATTCCTCAAAGCATGAAACTAATTGGAGGTTACCATATTGAACATCCACCTAAACCATTACCAAAGGTAACCAGTATTTTCAAGTTTTTATAGTTATAATTGAAACCGAAAAAATGCTCAAATCAACCAATCGATATATTAATAATTTTCTGACTTACTGTTAAATTTTTAAGTCCGTCAAGTGTGAATTAAATGTCCGGTTTTTCAATGCATATCTTCACTACATAGTATAAAACAAAGTCGCTTTATCTGTCCCTATATCCGATGTATGCTTAATTCTTTAAAACTATGCAACGGATTTTGATGCGGTTTTTTTTCCATAGATAGGGTGATTCAAAAAGAAGGTTTTTATGTATAATACAAAACCACGTGGGCGAAGCCGCTGGCGGAAAGCTAGTGGACTAATAAATAACATAAAACAACAAATATGCAAGTAATATTTTTCGCCTACAAACGAAATTGATCTAAATGAAAATAAAATAAATATGGATTTATATTAAATATAAATCGATATCACTTAGATTGTTTAGCTACAAAGTAATTACAAGTGTCAACAATAGAAAGTGTGGCTGACAGGTCAACTTAAATTCGTCAATTCAACATAACTTTGATATAGTGTAAATTTACACTAACATTTTCTTTGCACTACTAACAGAAGTAAGAAGCAGTAAAACCTCATTGTTATGTCAATTGGCATTGTACTTAAAATTTTTGTTGTAATTAGGAACTAAATAACTGAGAAAACGATGTTTATAAAATTTGTAGTACGCTGCTACAAAGATATCTCAGCTTTTTATTTTTATAGTGTTTTACCAAATTCCTTTTTTATAAACTACACGCAAGATATTATAGAAGTATTTACTGATATTATAAATTGTTGAATATTTTTATCACAATTTCAGGACCTGCAACAGCTCATGGACAACGCTAAACATGGAGTGATATACTTTAGTATGGGATCGATATGGAGAAGCAAAGATTTTCCTAAATCTACGATTGAGGACTTACTCAAGGTTTTTGGAAAACTTCAGCAAATTGTCATCTGGAAATTCGAAGATGACCTATCAAATGTGCCGGCCAACGTGAAAATCATGAAGTGGGCTCCACAACCCAGCATTTTATGTAATTAACTAAACTTTAAATTCAAATTTGCAATACAAAGTACGAGTAATATAATTCGTGTGTTCATAAGTTTTGAGACGAAATAAAAGTTGCATAACGTTTTTAATAAAAAACTTATATTTCTTAAATTTTCAGTACCATTAAATAGATATTAATCAACAATTAAATATATATCTTATTTAAAATGACCGCCCTTGTTTTAAATACAGGCCCTAAGAGGATTTGAACAGTCAGACGAATGGCGGCACGAATCTTTTCTAGCGGAATTCGCTTTGCTTCTCTAAAAAGGGTTCGCTTCAGTGACTCCAAGTATTTCTTTCTTCTAACTTTCGGCAGGTCCTGAGCTTTAATTTAGTCCATAAACAATAATCATAAGGTCGAGGCTGGAGGGAGACCACTCATCCGCAGCGATGAAGGTCGACACATTGTCCCTCAATCAAGTTAGGGTACATTTTGCCTTAAGGGATGGCGCCGAGTCTTACTGAAAAACCCGATCCTTGTTGTGAAATAACGTATCAGACAGGGGTTTCGCCACGAGCTCTAAAATGTCACTCAGATAATTCTTGGCTTTTACCATGACACCTTGTTGGCAGAATTGGAGCGAAGTGACACTTATATAGGAAACCCCACCATACCATCACGTACACTTTATTGTTTTGTCCGTTGAACTTTTCTTCGACGGTAATAATTTTCTCGCCGGTGAAGAGTATTATCTTCCTGGCATCATGTCTCTTCAGCAGCAATAGTCAATGTTGGCGTGGTTACAATCGTTTAAAAAGTGAACTTTTCTACGGCTATAAGCCTTTACCTTAAGATCTGATTTCAGTTATCTGTTCTTTTAAATCTCGAAAAATTAGTCTGCAGAGCTAGTTTCTTCTGAGTGCGACATAGATTTCGGCGAAGTCGCTCCGGAATCGATTTTCGAATCGATCCGTCCTTGTCAGCACGGTTTCATTGGCATCTGCAAAAACGTCGTTACACAAACGCAAATGTTTCGCTATTGTTTTTTATTCGTTCACAATTGTTTTGCAAAAATTTCGCAAGCGATTACGTCGGTACACTAACGGCGTAATATTTGAAGAAATAAAGTTGGAACAAAACGCTTAATCACATATTCGGAATTAAAGAAAGGTTTTATTCAAGTCATATTCGTTTTAAAAAACACAAAGCACGGTTTTTTCTTGAACACTGCCACGATTCGATTTGATTTTATTGTCTTGTTTGTTTTATGCTGGGTTGTGTTGTGTGTTGGCAAAATAAATGCTTTATTATTATTATTATCTTCTGTGATTTCTCAGCTTGAAACTTGAAATGGTTAGTTTTAGGTAATAACGGGCACTAGCCAAGTTATTACAGTATATATGTGTAACCAATGTCATCTTAACCAGTCCAGTAGTTTCTGAGAAAATTAGCAAGTTACACAAATGTCAATTAAAATTTTATGGTAAATTTTATACTCCAATGATTTTTTATATATTTGTAAATGTATGTCAGTAATGTCGCTATAAATTAATGAAAATTTCAATTAATCTTTTAATGAAGTTTGTGCAACTGAGTATATGACAGATAGACAACCAAGTGATCTTAATAAAACTATACAAGATTTAAATGCAACATTATGTTTATTTATTTAATAAAAACCTTCAATCAAATTTAATATTCGCGAAAATTCCTCTGCGCTCGAGTCCGAAATGCGCGTGACCACTTTTCAATGCAACTATGTCGGTTCATAAATTGAACAAACATACACCTTTAGCTACTTGAGAAAATGTCATAACTTAACTTCGGTCAACACAACAACTAACTTAAGCTAATATTTTAACCAATAAGTGAGAATTCTAATGAAAAAAGAACTTATGACATATTCTTATGAAATTAATTACCATTAAAGTAAATGAGAGTTGCATGAAATTTATGTAAAAATAGAGTATCCGTTAGACATTTTTATTGAGTTAAGCAAATATAGTAACTAAACAATATTTATTTTTCCATCAACAGATCATCCAAACTGTGTTGTCTTCGTAACACACGGAGGTCTACTATCTTCTACTGAATCTATTCACTTCGGAGTACCAATAATAGGCATACCAATATTCTTCGATCAATTTTTAAACATTAACAAAGCGGCGTCTAATGGGTATGCGATAAGAGTACCCTTAAATTATGAATTGCCCAAAAATTTGGAAGTCGCCATCCAAACTATGCTCTCCGATCCAAAGTAAGTATGAAAAACTTAAAAAAAAATATATTCACGGATTGAGTAATAACAACTAAAAATATTATACAAACTAATGTTTTTCGAATATTATGATAATATTTTCTTAAGAACATTCTTCTCGTTCTACGGAATTGTAGTAATAATGTTTTAATGCACTGCCGCTTAACAGGCGACAGGTGACGTGTGGGACTCTCCGTCCGCACGGACCCTCTTGAAGGCTAGTCAAAACGCACATGGCATATCCACTGAAAGTCCTCTGATGTAATCTAACTTTTAGGAGAAGGGCGTAGGATCCCGCAGGGAGTACTAACCCAGGCTGGGTTAGTACTCCGTGGTGGGGACTGCAGGCCTCGACAGAATATACAATCGCAATCTTACCGAATTCGATCGCTCATAGCGATCGTAATTTAACGATTACCGTAACTCTCTACAGTTAAGTTATTGATATCTGTTGCACTACCGCATGACAGGCGACTGGGGATATGTGGGACTCTCCGTCCGCACGGACCCTCCTGAAGGCTAGTCAAAACGCACATGGCATAACTACTGAAAGTCCTCCGATATAGCCTCACTTTTAGGGGAAGGGCGTAGGATCCAGCAGGGAGTACTAACCCAGCCTCCGTGGTGGGAGCTGCAGGTCTCGACAGAATATACAATCGCGATCTTACTGAGCTCGATCGCTCACTGCGATTGTAATTTAACGATTATCGCGAATCACTACAGTTAAGTATTTTGATATTTGTTGTGCGCGAACCGAGTTCAACTATCAAATTAGCGTTATCGTTAGTTTCCTAGCGATCGAATTTAACAGCTATCTCGGTAAACTCTGCAATCGCTATCACTGGGCTTCACTATAAATCGATACTGGATGCGCGGTTATTTTTGATTGACAATACATATTTTATTAGGACTTTAAATAGCTAAAAACGATGATGTGATAATAACACTGTTAATTTACTATTTCTATCAGTTAATTATTTCAATAATTATTTCCAGGTACAAAAAATTAGCAAAGGATTTCTCGTCAATCTATCATCACCGGCCGCTGCCTCCAGGGAAAGAAGCAGTCCATTGGATCGAGCACGTGATAAAGACAGGAGGTGCTATACATTTGAGATCTCCCGCACTGAACGTACCTTTCTACCAGAAATTCTACTTAGATCTGACCGCCATTTTGTTCTTTATAATATTTATGTTTTCTAAAATAGTTAAAGTAATGCTATCAAGAAAATACTCTGATCTAAAAGGAATAAAAGAAAAAAATAATTAATATAATTCAAAACAAAAAATGACCAGTATGTGAAAGACAGTAGAAAGAATCAAATAAAAATAGTATTTAAAAGGGAAACGATTGTTTATTTTTTATAAAAAAAACAGCTGTGCCCACTCCCATGATAACCCAACAAAAATTTCATGAGTGTTTTAAAAAAAATAATATTATTATCAGCAATAACGAGGTGTGCAGTTATTTCTAATTAATTACATTTATTAATTTACACTTCATTGTACAACACACTACAGAAATTTATAGAAAAACACAAACATGAAAATCCTAGGTGTAGTTTTATTATATTTAATCAATTTTGCATTCAAAGTCAAAGTCAAAATAATCTTTATTCAAATAGACTTCTTAAAAGCACTTTTGAATCGTCCAACATTTTTTCCCTACCACTAGTTCAGGACGTCTTTTGGCTGATAAGAAGAACGAGCAAGAAACTCACCAGCTCTAAGAAGAGTAATGATACTTACAAAAACCATGTCATTACCAGATCAATACATTATAAACAGAGATAGAAAAAAAAACTGGTCTTATAATAATAACATAATCATTTAATAATAATGATAATAAGTTTAGAAGTAATCACCTATCCAGTTGCTGGATCATCTCAAGGCCAAGCGTTCTTATCTGTTATATAATCGGATACCTTATAATAAGCTTTTTTATTAAGTATTTTTTTAATAGTAGATAACTGCATGATATCTAATTGTTGTATTTTACTTGGGACATTATTGTAGAAGCGCACACAAAGACCATTGAATGAGTTATTAACTTTTTGCAGTCTAGTGACAGACACCGTTAATTTATTTTTATTTCTTGTATTAAAATTGTGTATATCACTTTTCATAGAAAACAAACTAATATTTTTACGAACGTACATTAAGTTCTCGTATATGTATTGAGAAGCAACAGTCATAATGTCTATTTCCTTAAATTTCTCCCTTAAAGAGTCCCTAATATTAAAATTATAAATTGATCGAATTGCTCTTTTCTGAAGCACAAAAATTGTTTGTATGTCGGCAGCATTTCCCCACAATAGGATACCGTACGACATAACACTATGAAAGTAACTGAAGTATACTAATCTGGCAGTATCTATGTCAGTCAACCTACGTATCTTCATTACGGCATATGCTGCAGAGCTAAGTCTACTCGACAATCTATCAATATGTGGGCCTCACTGTAGTTTAGAATCTAATGTTATTCCTAAAAATACTGTGGTATCCACAAGGCCCATGTTTTTATCTTTTATATTAACATTTATATCTACTTTTTTAACAATAGGTAGTACAAATTTTAAGCATTTTGTTTTTCCTTCATCAAGGAGAAGATTATTTACATTAAATCAATGTACTACTTTAGCGATAGAATTGTTCACATCGTCGTTAAGAGGTAGCCCTTTTTCAATTTTAAACAAAAATGTAGTGTCATCCGCAAACAAAACTATTTCGTGATCATTTCGTGATCAAGTCATTTATGTAAATTAAAAACAAGAAAGGACCAAATATTGAGCTCTGCGGAACACCCATCTTAACTTTCGATCCAGGGGATCTTTTGCTATTAATATCAACCCTCTGTACTCTATCAGTCAAGTATGAGACAATAAAATTCAATGTGTTATCTTTAAATCCATAACAATGAAGTTTCCTAATCAATGTTTTCATGAAAAACACAATCAAATGCCTTAGATAGGTGACAGAAAACACCTAACGCATCATGTGAATCCTCCCAGGCATTAAAAATTTGTTGTATTAACTCGACACCGGCTTCGGTTGTCGATCGACCCCTTGTAAAACCAAATTGTTGTCGATTCATAAGCTTATTCTTGTAAAAGAACGTTTGCATTTGATCCAGCATGATTTTTTCAAAAATCTCACTAAACGTAGGTAGCACGGATATAGGTCTAAATTTAGTAGGGTCAGATGTGCTACCCGATTTATGTAAAGGAATAATTTTACTATATTTCATGAGCTCAGGAAAAACACCACAATCAGTACATTCATTAAATATATAAGCTAAGATTGGAGCTATTGTCTCAATTACCGATTTAGAAACTTCAATGGAATTACCCCATAAATCAGCAGTTTTCGTTTTCTTTACCTGATTAAAAGATTTTATTATATCTTTAAAATCAATGTGTTGAAACTTAAATTGGCTATTAGAATTATTTAAACTTGTCTTTAAAATAGATTCAGCAACAGTGGAAGAGGAATTCAAAGATTGTGTAATTAAGACTGGAATTTCAGTAAATAAATTTTCAAATACTGTAGCAACTTCAAGATCTGATGTTACTTTTTTATTATCAATGTTTAAATTAAAATTTATATTCCGGGATTATTCTCTTCCACTTTTTTAAATAATTTAGAGTAATTCCGTACATATCCTTTGAAGTCCTCACTTGTGTTATAATTAAGTTCATCATATAGTTCATAGAGCCTTTTTCTGCTTTTGTAGATTCCTGGTGTAGCCCACACACTAAAAGTTATAGGATTACTAATACTTATTTTTTTTGGGACAAAAATCTTATTGAATTCTGTACAATAAACATCAAAGAAATCTTAGTACAAATCATTGGGATTACTATTATGTTTCAGATGATACAATTTACTATGTAATTGATTTTTAAAACGTTCCAAGCGACTCATACTTTTTGACACAACTGTAATGTCTTCCTAGCCACAAACGTACATTTATGCGGAAAGCTAACTAGTTGTCCAAAATTATCTGACGGTAGTTGTTTAATTATCTATTTTGAAAGTGGTACCAGATCTGTAAAAATGTTGTCAATACATGTGGACGAAGTAGCAGTTACTCTAGTATGCTCCTTAAACATGTGCGCAAGATTATAGGACATAAATAGATTTACAAGTCTTGTACATGAATTGGAGTTTCCTAATAAATCAACGTTAAAATCACCCCCAATCACTAATCATTTGCCTTTTCTATATACCTTTTTTAATGCTTCATCCATAACTGTTTCAAAAAGATCATAATGAGAAACTAAACTTGAAGGAGGTCTATATACGCTCAGTACAATCAGCTGGTCTAGCTCTATACAGGCAATCTCTATTATTTCCTCAACCGATAGGCTCACTATATCTCTACGTTCTTTAAATTTAAACTTTTTATTTAATAAAATTAGTGCGCCACCACGCATTGCGTTTTTCCTAATGAACGCGCTACCAACCAGGTGATTATTGAAGTTAAAAATGCAGTTATAACTTGTTAACCAATGTTCCGTAATACAGAAAATATCAATATTGTTACAGTTCATGAATAATTCTACTTCTAACTCTTTACTCAACATTCCTTGAACATTTTGGTGCACTAGGTTGATGACTGATAAACTCTTGGTTTCATTATTACTAGTGTGTAGTTATAGTGTGCAATGTCATATTCAATTTGTATCGCAAATTGTTTTCTTCATTGGACAAACACAATGTTATACTTTAAAAATAATCTTTAAAAGTAACAAGTTCTTGTAAAATTCGTCAGTCCTTGTCCTGGGTAACTCAGTGGTTAGAACTGTCGCCCGGATTGGGAAAGGATTTTGTTAGCATTACTTTTAAGAATAACAAATGTTTTCATAATTTTACAAATATTGGTGTTATTATCAAAAAGGTGAAAGCAAATTAAATAAAACAGGGCGAAGTATTTATTCCTTGGGTATAATTATTCAAGATGCATTTGAATTGTTTTTGGTTGGCCTGGTAATTTTAGTTTTAGTGAATGCTTATAGAATATTAATAGTATACCCATTCCCGGTAAGAAGTCTAAATATACTGGGTGATGGTTTTGTGAGTGTCCTTTCACCATTTGTTAACTTGACTATAGTTAAAACATTGACCAGTTGTTAACCCGCTATTTAGTTTTTTGATGCCAAATTAAACCACTGGTTAATTTGTTGCCAGCACAGTGAGTCGTTCTTTCGCTATATATTGACATGGGTAATTTTTTTCTGGCTGACAACACTAACGGTTTGAATGATCGGAGCAAACTATATACCATTTTTGACATTAGAATTTTGTTCCAAATATTAAATAGACAAAAGAAATCTACAGATTACCAAACAGTGTAGATGTTTATGGTTGTTATGGTAGATGTTTATGGTTGTTGTGTTATTTTTCAGGAAATAGGCAATTTATTCAATAATGTTAGAAAGCAACAAAGATATTTTTTTCGAATTATTTTAAACTTAACTTTTTTTTTATAAAAAGCATATCTTTGTTTTCTTATTATCTTATCTTTATCTTATAGAGAAATACGTGAAACGAATATAGTATCTAGTATCCAAGGTGGGATTGTAATTTTGGAAAATAAATCGAGGAATATGTATTTTATATATTGTAGGCATTTTTACCTTTTATATTGTCTTTTCGTGGATTTTATAAGATTTTTAATAATTGAATAATTTGGCATATGCCCGTAAATGCAAGAAAACAAGTTATTTTATATAGTACAAATATACTAAAGATGATCAAGATAAAAATATAACTTAATTTCAATAACCCTAAAACCCCAAATTACAATGAATGTTTTCCTATGAAATTGCAAAATAAAACGAAATCCCAAAAATAAATAATGTCCAAATTTACTATGGACTCATGTAGGGTAATAAAAACAACGTAAATAACAGAACAAGGGACCAAGTAAATACAACGCAGTTGAACATCTCTTCTTTTAACCATTGGTCGTTTGCTTAACCTAGTTTCCAATGATGGTTAAATTTTTTGACCAATGGTTGGAATTCTGACAATTGGTTAGGCTAACTTTTAGTCAAAAAACATTTTTTTCTGATATTTAACCATTTGTCGTAGATTTTAACAAATGGTTGAGTTAACCACGGGTCAAAAAACAAGCCCTTAGACGCATAGCATGGGTAGACATGGACGCATAGGGAAGTAAGCTAAGTTTCAGATATCATCATCATCATCATCATCCTATAAATATCCTCGTTTTTGGGCAAGATAATATTGTCGCGGGTGTAGATG